TATCTCACAATATGTACAAATATTGAATCATTATACTATATACCTTAACTAATACAATGCTGTATGTCAATTACACCTCAATTTTAAAAAGTCCTAAGATTGCAAAGTCCATAAAGGCTGGTTAGAAGAGAGAGAGCAGGAGGTGAAGCTGAGGAGGGGGCTGCTATCAGAGCACAGAGAGTCACTTCCCTAAGAGCAACAGGAAGCCGAACGGTTACTTCGGGGTGGGGTGGGGGGTTGGGGACTGGTTTGCTCATGAACATTTGGCTACCAGGCAGAGCAGAGATGGGAGCATGACAAGAGTGGACTGCAGGTAAGGTTAGGATTTCATTTCAATTTTCAGAATCAACTTACAGACCAATGGTTCTCATCCAAGGATGGTTTGGCACTTCTGGGGCCATTTGGAAATGTGTGGAAATAATTTGGGGTTGCATTAATTGCAGATGGGAAAAACCCAGTATTGTGAGGGTGTGAGGGATGCCCCTCCCCAAAGGCAGAACTGTCTTCTTCCAAATGCCAAGGCAGCCCCCACTGGGAAATCCAGCCACTGGCAAAACCAGAAGTCTCCACTGTAGAAACATAAATATTAGCCGTGACAATGTGAAAGTCATTGTACAGCTGAGAGATGTGGATGAGAGGAGGGGCAAGAGACGTGAAGGGCGGGTGCCTGGGTGGCTCAGTTGGTTAAGCGACTGCCTTCGGCTCAGGTCATGATCCTGGAGTCCCGGGATCGAGTCCCACATCGGGCTCCCTGCTCAGGAGTCTGCTTCTCCCTCTGACCCTCTTCCCTCTCGTGCTCTCTATTTCTCATTCTCTCTCTCAAATAAACAAATAAAATCTTAAAAAAAAAAAAAAGAGACGTGAAGGGCCATGTAGAGGTGAGGATTCATTCACCCTACATACAAGGCTGTTAAGAGACACTATCTAGAGTTGATGGGCCCAAACATAGAGGTTAAGTGTATTCAAGTTGTAAACAGCACCAAAAGTTAAAAACAAAATATAATTAAAAATTGTGGGAAGAGAGAAAAGGAGAAAGAATAGTATAAACAAGCTAAAGTCCTTATCTTTCATAGCAGGGAACACTATTCAAGTTAATCAAGACACAGAGGTGGAAATACAATATTTAAAATTGAAGAGGAAAATATCCCCAAATCAGGAAGAAAACCACCAGGAAAAGAAGTGCCATTGGTTTGAATTTGGGGGAAGGGAGCGGTAAGGGCAACTCTGACTTTTCATTGTATCCTTTCCCTGAAACACCATTTGCACCTTATTTCCACCTGTATACATTACATAAGTACGTCAACTAGTTTCCTGCCTTAGTTCAGGTCCCTGTGGTGGCCGTCAGATGGCTCCCTCACTCTCTGAGGAGCTGGTTCTGTTTAGCAGGGACCTGCCAAAAACTACAAGCCATCTTCAGACATGTGTCCAGAGTTTTCTGGTGTTGAACTGTACCTTCTCCTCATGGTCACTGGGGCCTGATCCATGACTGGTTCATTCCAAGGCTGAAAGAACGTCCCTGCCCCCACTGGGTCCAGATCCATTTTTCCTCACGTGGTCGGGAACTGAGCAGCTGCTGGGAGGGGCTGGAAGCCAGCCAAAGAGGAAAAGGGCACGTTGTCCAGGGCACCCCATTGGCTGGGGGGCTTGCTCCCATCCATGGGTATCAGATAAGAGCCCTCATGCTCTCTAAAGGAGCATGTGTTATACGCAAACAATGAATCGTGGAACACTACATCAAAAACTAATGATGTACTGTATGGTGACCAACATAACATAATAAAAAAAAAAGAAAAAAAGGAGCATGTGTGTGAGTAGAGGATATGGGGGGACAGGGTGAAGTGGAGTGGGTGGGGGCATGAGCAGGAATTAGAATCCAGATGGCCTGAACCTAACTGTCCACGCCCCAGCCCAGCTGGGCCTCTACGTGTCATTATCTTTTATGTGTCCAATTAGTAGAACTCCTCTATTTTTCTCTATGTGACCCTTCCATGAGACAGTGAGATTGTACTGTTAGTTGCTTACATATCTGTAGCTTAATCTTCTATCATCTGTGATCTCCTCCTCAAGGGCAAGGTCTGAGCCTCATTCATCTTTATATCCGCTGCACTGAGTATGTATCTAATAAATTCTGGTTGAATAAAGGAATGAATGGATGAATGAATAAACAAATGAAAGCCAAATGAATAAAATGCTTATTATATCCCCCACCTTTTAAGAAACATTAGCAAGGAATAGCATGGAGGACATTAGGAGAAGGAAGGGAAAAATGAAGGGGGGGGGAATCGGAGGGGGAGATGAACCCTGAGAGACTATGGACTCCGAGAAACAAACTGAGGGTTTTAGAGGGGAGGGGGGTGGGGGGATGGGTATTATGAAGAGCATGTATTGCATGGAGCACTGGGTATTATATGAAAACAATGAATTGTGGATCACTACATCAGAAACTAATGATGTATTATATGGTGACTAACATAAAAATAAAATAAAATTAAATTAAAAAATAAAAATAGGGGCACCTGGGTGGCTCAGATGGTTGGGCGTCTGCCTTTGGCTGAGGTCATGATCTCAGGGTCCTGGGATTGAGTCCCACATCAGGCTCCTTGCTTGGTGGGGAGCCTGCTTCTCCCTCTGCCTGCCAATCCCCCTGCTTGTACTCTCCCTCTCTCTCTCTGGCAAATAAATAAATAAAATCTTTAAAAAAATAAAAACAAAAATAAAAATAAAAACATTAGCAAACACGGTATGGAGTATAACAAAAATTTCCTTACTTTCTGGTGCATCCCTAATTATGTGAATCTGGTACGTGTGTGTGTGTATGTGTGTGTATTACCAAAACTACTTGCCAGAGTTAAATAACTGGTAATGGAGAAACAATTTAAGCCTTTGGGATCCCTAAGAGGTGCAGAGAGGCTTAGATACCTCTAGGACTAACAGATCAAAGAGGAAATTCAATGACACTGCAAAGGTCAGATCACATTTACAGAAAGATAGGCTCACCCAGGAAATGTTTGGAATTGGCGAGGCAATAAGATTAAAGAGAATGAGTTTAGACTAGGAAGGAGTAGGAACTTGGCACCAGAAACACCAACTGGATTCCTCTATTACCCAGGGGGTGAACAAAGTATCTCACTTTAGTCATGCGATCAAAGGATAACAAAGTTAAGAAGGGGAGACCTGCAATAAGACTACCTGTTTAATTAGCGTAACAGTAATATGAACCGTATCTATGAGACTGTGATAAAACTTGTATGCTTATGTTCTGCTAGCGGTATTGTAACTTGGCTCAACCCTTTTTAGAAGTCGGTAAGTCGGGCGCCTGGGTGGCTCAGTTGGTTAAGCAACTGCCTTCGGCTCAGGTCATGATCCTGGAGTCCTGGGATTGAGTCCCACATCGGGCTCTCTGCTTGGCAGGGAGTCTGCTTCTCCCTCTGACCCTCTTCCCTCTCGTGCTCTCCATCTCTCATTCTCTCTCTCTCGAATAAATAAATAAAATCTTTAAAAAAACATTTATTAATTAAAAAAAAAAAGAAGTCGGTAAGTCATGGGGGCGTCTGGGTGGCTCATTTGGTTGAGAGTCTGACTTCTGATTTCAGCTCAGGTCATGATTTCAGGGTTGTGAGATTGATCCCCGCACTGGGCTCTATACTCAGCAGCTCGGGGCCGGGGGGGAGTCTGCTTGAGATTCTCTCCATTTCCCTCTCCCTCTGCCCCTTCCCCCAACTCATGCTCTCTAAAATAAATAAATAAATCTTAAAAACTAAAGAAGTCAGTCTGTCACAGAGGCTGCCATGTCATTATAATCACAATTTCTTCTTGTTGCTATTAGCAATGGAAAAGAACTTTGTAAAGATTTTCAAAGATCTTTGATTAATCACTGTGAAAATTTAATGCCCTGGTGGGTACCTCAATGGACTAAAAGTAACCAAGCATCATTATGACGGGAATGGTGTGCCAAATTTCTTTAGCAGGAAATTATAGATGGATGAAGTTATATTCTGTCTGGATGGCTATAACTAAGAGAAGCTCAAGCCGTTAACATTTGTAAAGAAGGTTCTACTACTCTTCCAGGTTTGTATCCTACCCTAGGGAGCCTGGACTTTGAGTAATTCCTGGTTAACAAACATGATCAACTGATTGATCCATTCATTCAACAGTATTTTTTGAGCTCCCATTGTATGTTTCATCTGTTTGAAGAAAGGGACCTTTCTTATCCTTTTTTGAGCCCATTCTTGCTCAGAGTGAATACTTGAAAGACATTTTCTGGTTGAATGATGGGCTGAAACAAAATGGATTTTCCCATACTGGTTTCATATTTGGGTTGTAGTTGACAGAATTTATTATTTCGGTAAAACTTCCTTAAGTTTAGGAGTTGTTAAACTTGGGAGATTATAGTTTTCTTTTATATTCCCCTTGCAGTGAAGAGCTCTTTGTATTCTCATTGTTATAAAAATCAGCTGCTGATGGTACCCTTACATAAATTCTCTCCGTTTGGGTTGGCTCTCATTTTTTACTGAGCTTCTCTACCTTGTTAGCCCAAGTTGTTGACCTTAAAGCCTCAATGTAAAACCAGGTTCACTGATTTCACCCTTTTAAAGTAATTTAGTATTATAAATTACAGTAAAGTAATTAGTATTCCTATGTGCCTGTGGGCACGAGTGTGTCTTTGACAGATTGAGAGAGAGAGATAATTGGGGCTTCAAATTAAAGTTTAGCTGTTGAACTTGGACTATTCATGCATTCTCTGTCTTTGGTCTATTCTCAGGGAATCTAAGAAATAAACAAGCAAACACTCTAGGTGGCCATTATTCTGAGACACAGAAAACTGAAAACAACCTGTAGATAATATAACTTGTGCATGGCTCCAGTAGAGTGTAGCGGTGGGGCTGTCAGAAGAAAAATAACACATCTCCAGTTGAAAATAATTAAACGGAAATTCACTAACCCGGCCCAGAAACCCAAGAGGAACAAAGTATCAAAGTGTTGGGCTGGCAATACTATACCTTGGAAGGCATGGGTTTCTTGAAGGTGATTTCAGCTTGCATCCAAACACCCCTTGGAGACTCCAGCACAGACCAAATTTTCTCTTGAACTACGTGGTTCTCTTCAAAGATATAAACTGCCAGGGTGTCACTCATTTTTAAAAACCCATAGATGGCATAATAAAAACATAGACAATACTGCAAGTTTCCTGGCAGGGAGGGACCGTAGAGCCTTCCGATGTAGCCAGGCTGAGATGTAAACTTTGTGTTGGCCAGCAAGTAGTACCCTGTGAACAGGCAAAACATTCAGGCTATCAGCAACGACAAACTTAAATCCTCTAGCCCGGATGGCCAAGTGGGAAAATTTGGTTAAAAGTAGTGGGATTTGCCAATGGCGGCTATTCCTATAGGCTTTAAATGATAGAACGCATTTTGTAATATCTGTGGCTTAAGTGATAGATCATATCCTGCAACTCTATTACCGATAAAACTTCTCCAGTTCTAAGTAAACTTCATAAACCAGTATAGATTCCCATCTGCATATGCTCAGAAGCCAGTCATCAGTTAGGGTTTGTATTTCTCATGAAACAAAAGGGATGAAATCATCTTGGGGCTCCAGATGCCTGGGTCAATCAGGTGACACAGATTGAGTACTTAGTACTGGGTCCTAGTGAACGTTAGGCCCAGAGCAGATTTTTCCTTCTTATCTCTGCAGCGACCAGCGGAGAGAGAGAAAGCACAGGCTGATCTGGCAGTCCTTGGAATTTTGGTTATTTCACAGGAGTATTGTTATGGACTGAATTGTGTGGTTCCCCCAAATCTATTTTGTTTCAGTCTGCCATTCGACCAGAAAAGATCTCTCAAGTACCCTCTCTGTGCAAGAAAAGGGTCCAAGGAAGAATACTTATTTCTTTTCCCCACTCCCCCTGCTTGTGTTCCCTCTCTCGCTGTGTCTCTCTCTGTCAAATAAATAAAAAAATCTATTTCTTTTAAATAAGAAAAAAGAAACATAATGTCAAGAACCTCCTCTCCCACCTGCTCCTCCACCACCCCCATGGTAAACTTAAAACAGATCCATGCATCCTAGAAAGCCTGGGTAGAAAAGATGAAAATAATACCTACTTTTCTTTCTTTCCTTTTTATGCTCTTCCCCCATCCATTTTCCTTTGATCGCCTCCCTTTGTGTTTAGTTTGGTTCTACCCAATGATTTAATTCATCTGGCAAAAGGTTCTTGGGTTATTTCACATGAGTGGTGATATGGTCTGAGTTGTGTCCCTCCCAGATCCATTGGTTGAGACCCTAATTTCTAATGCAACTTTATTTGGAGATTGGGCCTTTAAGGAGGTAATTAAATGAGGTTATAAGGGTGGGACCTTAATCCCGTAGAACTGATGTCCTTATAAGAAGAGGAAGAGACACCAGAGAGCTCTCTCTCTTCACTGGTACACATAGAGTAAAGGTCATGAGGACTCAATGAGAAGGTGCCACAATGCAGAAAGAGAGGTCTCACCAGAAATCAACATTGATAGCATCTCGATCTTGGGCTTCCAGCTCCAGAACTGTGAAAAAAATGCATTTCTGCTGGTCACCCAGTCTGTGATACTTTGTTTTGGCCACCCGAGCAGACTAACATGGTGGCCATATACAGCCAGAACAACATTTTTGAAACCTGAATTTAATTCTACTCTTCTTTTACTTAAAACCTTTTGATGGTTTCTCATTTCCTTTATAAAAAAAATCCCAAAAGCTCACGCTGGCCTGCCACACCCACGGTGTATGTCCTAACTCCATATTCCTTCACTCTCCTGCCCATGGTGCAGCCACACTAACCTTCTCATTGCTTGGGTTGTCCAGCTCTTTCCATACTCAAGACCTTCACAGATGCTGTTCCCTCTGCCTGGATTCCTCCCACTTTCCCAGCTAATACTCTCTCCCCCCAGAAAAGCCTTCCCAGGATCTCTCCCTTATTCTCTCTGAGAGCCCACTCTTCATTTCTTCCATAGCATGTGCCACAATGTGTAATTCTAAGTTTATTTGTGTATATATTTGTCTAACTTTTCTCTTGCCCGTTGAAATGATTGTTAGCCAGTGAGGGCAGGTACCTGATTTGTTCACTAGCATATCCCCCAGGAGTTAGTTTGGCCGATGACTATAGGTTTTTGTAGTGTCTGTATTTCTACAAGTTAAGCCACCTCTAAGAAAAGAATTCATGATTACAAGTATAAAATTGCGAGGGCCCCTTTCAAGGCCCTTCCCAGGGCCTGTGCAAGTAAAGTGGTCTGAAACATAAGTTTCCTTAGTGTATGGTAAGCACACCCCGGTGCCCAGGGTATAAAGAGCCATTATATAAATGAATAAGACACTAACCCTTGAAAACAAGCTCTTTGCAGAAGAATCTACGGGAGTGGGCTTCACAGGGGATGCCATCCAAGTGATTAGGTAGGTAATCCTTATACAGGGGAGCTCAAACTCGTTTCTTACAGTTCCTTGAAGACATAACCATCAAGTGCCCCCCCAACATCTTCCAATAGTTTTTATAGCTTTTATTGCCTCACAAAATATTTTTCATTGAGTAAAATACACATAACATAAAATTTACCATTTTAACCACTTTAAAGTATACAATTCAGTGGCATTTAGTACATTCACAGTGCTGGGCAACCATCACCACTATCCAGCTCCAAAATATTTTCATCACCCCAAAAGGAAACTCTATACTCATTAAACAGTAACTCCCTAGCCCCTGGCCACCAAGAATCGGCTTTCTGTCTCTATGGATTTGCCTCTTCTGGATGTTTCATGTAATTGGAATCTAATAGCTTTTTAAAGGCACTGCTCTATCTAAAGGGAAGAGCGAGATAATTTCCAAAGGTTTGGCTGTTTAAAGAACTGGCAGACAGTCGTGCTAGCATAGCAACTTAAATGCCTTTTTTTTTTTTAAATGGCCAAACACAAGATTACCAATCGTTTTTACTTCTTTACAGTTGCCTTTTTTTTTAAGTGGCCATCTTGAGTGATGTGGAGTAAGAATAGCAGACGGAGCATGAATACTACCCCCACCCCAGTCCCCACATGCACAGACTCCTGATTTACCGATGCCTGATGTGTGGTCTCCGGTCCGATACATGTTTGGTTTTACTTTCACCCGGGTCCAGCCTGGACCTTCTTTATCTTGATAAAAGTTGCAGAGATCTTCCTCAAAATTGCAACTGGCTTCCACGGCACTGAAAGGAAGCTCTGAACAAAGGAGAACCAAAGTTAAAGTGCCAGACCCAAGGGTCTCAAAGGACTACATCAACTGGTTGACAAATACATACACATTTGTGCCAGGGAGACTGAATAAATAAAGCACAACAAAATATTTTTACCCTAATGGCATGCTGACAGGTTAGCATCAAAATAACATCTCAGCATGACAGGAAAATTGTTCTTTTCCACCCTTAAGGGATGGAGGGAAGGAGCTCTGTTCATACTCTCTATAAAAAATAAAGAAGTATCAGACTTCAAAAGAAATTTCCTTTCATAATGTAAAGACTGGGAGCAATACTCACATAATTCTTCACAATTCAAAACTCATTCATAGAAAATTGAAGAGAGAGAAAAAGGTAAAGATTTTAAGGAATTTTTAATTTTTCTCTAAGACAGGTATTCTAGAAATAATATTTTCCAGAAATAATTTTCCTTTGTTGATCAATCTCTGTGTCACCAGCACAGTCGCTATCTATTTATAATTGACATTAGTAGTAGGAGCCAATCTGCTTGAAGAAAATCATTGCTCAGTATAAATCACACTGTTCAAAAAGTCACACCAATTTCATCACCCATGCTGCTATTATTTTGGCTTTTGCTGAGTTCTGGTATCATTTACCCTGGTCTATAAATACCACCTCATTCCAGATTGCCTGGAGGGAATGGAACATAAAAGATGTCTGCTCTTTTGAGAATAACTTGGTACAGCAACAAGTGATTGTAAATCTCACTGTTCAGATTGTCTGAGTCCAGAGGGGATGTGACTGCCACAGTTTGGGACACATTCAATGTAGCCAACTGTGATCTGTTCCACATGCTGACATACACTGGTCTAAGCTTTTAGGGCCAGATAAAGAGGGCACTGTTTTGAATAACTGGGAAATCACCTCCAGAGAAACATTTGAGTTCTGGAAGCAGTGACCTGATGAAACAGGGAGATGTTTATGGACAAAAACTCACTATACTCTCAATTCCTCAATTTCCAAAGCAAGAAAACAGTCAAGTGGGCTGAGGAGCTGGCCCAGATTAAAGGGGATGAAAGAGGCATGACAACTAAATGCTATAAAGCACCTGAGATTCACTCTTGGTCCAAGAAAACAAAGAGCCATAAAAGACAGTACTGGGACAACTGGTGAAATTAGCATGTAAGCCATGGATTAGTTGATAACATTGTATCAGTGCCAAATTTCCTGAACTTTATAATTATCTGATACCATATGGAAAATGTGCTTTGTTTTAGAAAATACACACTGAAGTATTTAGGGGTAAAGGGGCATAATGTCTGCAACTTACTCTTACATGGTTGATAAGGCAAATGTAGCAAAATGTTAACAATTTGTAGATCTGAGTGAAGAGTCTAGGAGAGTTCTTTATAGTATTCTTGCAAATTCTGTCTGAGTTAAAAATGATACAAATATACTAAATTAAAAAAAAAGTGACCAACATCACCTTAAAAAAACAAAAAAAGAATAGGAACAAAATGTTCCTATATAATTGAATCCCGAATGTATCTCAGGTGACAGGGACTTGCAAGTGTGCAAAGCGAGCACCCTGATGAACCAGAGAGGAGAAAAGGAAATGAAGAGCCTTCTTAGTGCTCTAAGGCTGGTGGGTTCACCCACACATTGCTGTGCCTGCCTCTGGGAGCACCAGGGAGTATCTTTAAGCCATGAAGATGAAGTCTTCGAAAAATGAGTATGATGTCATAAAGACAAGCCTCCTTTGACACCAGCCCCCCTAACACATATTTGCAACCAGGAGAAACCCTATACTGGTCTCCAGTCTTAGTTACCCCTCTGCTACCTGGTAATGAAAAAGTAGATGAAAACCCACAATCTACAGATGGCCGTCTGGTTCCCAAAAGCCATTCGCAAAGAGAACAGCAGGTCAGTGAAATCACTCATCAAGGATATATCCCAAGGAATATACCCCCAGGCGGCCACAAAAGAAACATAACCCATTCATAAGGTGTGCAGGAGAGGCGAGAGGTGGTATTAAAACTTAAAAGGAAGCAAGACTCAGTTCTATCCATGGTGACAAACTGAGTCATGCAGAAAAGATGTTTCTGAGAATGCGATTATAGTCCTTTGCTAAATACCTGGTCCTCGAAATGGATTTGTCTGGGGTCCTGATAAGGTCTGATAAAAAGAAAATCTCAAAAGCATTTTTCACCCAGAGTGCTGCTTCTGCTATGAGACAGCGTCTAATTCCTGAAGACGGGGCCAGAGGGCCTGTTTGTGACCCAAAATTAGCTCGCCAGAGATCGGGGGTGGATGGAAAGCTTTTGCTTAAGGCTTGTTTCAGAGCATCTGGGCCAAGCGGCCATGACGGTTGAGCGCTAATGACCTGTTTGAAGCGCAGGGAGGAATCAGAGGCAGTTGGAAGCCCTTGAACATCAGTTGATCAGAAAAAAAAAGGGGTGGGGGGGAAGAAAGGCCCTTTGAACAAGGTACCAAAAAGCATCACAATGTAAGATGTAGTTAATTACTTGCTTTCTGACATTTGAACTTTTTAGAAATGAGAAGCTTTGAAGATACTCTAATCAGATGGAGGGTGCTGCCTTTGAGAAGACTCTTTGGCAGCATTTCTCATCCTGAAGTTCATGGAGATGGATTCCGCATCAGCCCCAGAGATCTAGACGCTCATCAGCAGCCTCTTCAATCCTCGGCCCCTGTAGCACTTGAGACAGCAGGGTGCAGCGTGCTCTGTAGGCTGCTAAACTGGCACAGGGGTTTTATTTTAGCACAAGCCAGCCCGAAAGCAGGCTGAGACCGCTCAAAGCTGGCTTGGAGACAGAGTGAGTGGGACCCGGCGCCAGACGGAGCAGTCTTGCTGGAGCAGGGGCTGGGCCGCTGACCAGGCTGTGGAGACGCTTGAGGTCTGAGCTAAGGCAACTATAGCTGTAACCAAGGCAACATCCGGAGCCAGGTTTCCAATCAGACATCAAACGGACAGTGTGTTGTTAGGGAATAGGCATAACTGGGATTTAGGCCCAGGCAGACATCCTTTGAGGGGTATATCCATGAATCCATGAGTGTCAGGACCCTTCCAGTCCCTGGCCTGGGGGTGGGCTGGACCGAGGCCCTGAGAGGAGATTGGGCCTGAGGATGGCACAGCAGTGGGAGCTCTCAGTTTGGGGTTGGGCATTAAGACAGGATCTCTAAATATATGTTAAGAAAAAAAAGAAGAAGAAGAAGAAGATAGCAGGAGGGGAAGAATGAAGGGGAGTAAGTCAGAGGGGGAGACGAACCATTAGAGACGATGGACTCTGAAAACAAACTGAGGGTTCTAGAGGGGAGGGGGGTGGGGGGATGGGTTAGCCTGGTGATGGGTATTAAAGAGGGCACATTCTGAGTGGAGCACTGGGTGTTATGCACAAACAATGAATCATGGAACGCTGCATCAAAAACTAATGATGTAATGTATGGTGGTTAACATAACAATAAAAAATTTATTAAAAAAAAAAAAAAGACAGGATCTCTACAAGTGCATGGATTCACCTGTCAGCCATTCAAGGATTTACAGCCTAAAAGGAGAGCTTACTCCTACAATCTAGGTGCTGGGCCAAACGTGGTGGTGGACAGGGAGGTCGTGGGTGGAAGAGGCTTGGAAAGGGAAGTGCCCTACCTCAAGCAGGTGGAGTGGGGAGGTCTCACTGTCCTCTGGCAGCATCCTGGGGGAATACTTGGGGAGTCACATGACACTGGTATTTAACACCTGTGACTCTATGATGGGTCCCAGGTCTGGGAACCTGGATTAACTCTAAGCCCAACCAGATGGTGGGAATGAGACGCTTCATATGTTGAAGTAATTCCTGTCTCAGTCTTCTTGGGGAGATGAGGGAAGAAAATGCTAGATCCAGCTGGGAAAAGCAGAGACAACAAGTCTGGAGCTAACCAAGATAAGGAAAAAAAATGTTGGCACCTGTTATGAAACAGAAGGGCATAAACTATTTGTGAAATGTGAGATGAAGTATGAAAAACGGAGGGCTCAGCATCTAAGACTCAGAATCTGGCCCACAGCCGCTGAAGGAAAGGCATCAAGCAGGCTACTGCTCACCCCTTCACCAAGGTGGTGCCCTTTGCTGGTTCTCTTCAGTTTCAATCTGACTCTCTGGTCCCCAGCGAAGGGACAGGCGTATTTTGAAAGTTAAGTAAATAACATGAAGCCTCATGGCCAAGCATTTTCTGTGTTCCATACTCTGCTAAGGCCTTCACGGACATAAACTCATCTTCCCAACTGTGCAGAACAGATTCTTCTAACGTCGTCCCACAAATGTGGAAACAGAATCTCAGAGAGGTTAACATGCCCAAGGTCACCCAGTTGGTAAGTGGCAGAGTAGGGATGTGAATCCAAAGTCCTGGCTCAGGAGCATAACACTAGGATCATGCAATTAAACCATTTAAAAGCAAAGTTGCCAGGTGGGGAAGTTCTAAAAACCAGTGTGGAGCGGCTAACCTAATTATGTGAAAATGTGAATTGTTGGTGGTCCCTGCAGAGAAAGGGTCTGTATGTGGGCTGAATTTTGCAGACAAATAGTCCTTATTTTGCTGGAATCTTTCTTTTCTTTTCACCAGTCATTGGGAAAGCGCTCCCACAGATTCTGTATCTTTTTAGAAAAGGGAGAGTGCTTCCAAACATTACTTGTAAGGTGGTTCAGTAGATACTGTGACCTCCCACCTGACTCTTCACCCCATTGTCTACCCCGTGCAGATATTGAATAAACACCTCTTCTCCCCTATGAATAACTTGGAAATAGAAAAGTTCAATGTAAATGCCTAGTGACAAAGAGGAGAAACTTTCCAAAAATAATGATAAAGAGGTTGTGAAATTACTATTAACATCACTGAAATATTAGCTGATGAGATAAGGGAGCAGTCAGATTTTTGAGAAGCAAATTAATGTTGGTTTCTGTGTTCTAATTTAGAGACTCTGAATCTTGGGGTCACAGTTTGGATTAAATCATTTCAATGAAAATATGTAAATATGCATATCTAGTCTGGTTCTGTTTCACTAGCTTTTTTTTCTTTTTTAAAATTAGAATTAGTAAAAAATAATATTTGGTTTTAGCACATTAGAGTGTTTCTCTCTAACTTGGGGGTAACACTTTAGCTCAAGTAGAAAATATTATCTTTCTCAGTCCCCTTGCTTGTAGAATACATCTGAAGCTATATGAAATTAGACACCAATTTTATCTTAAGTGAAAGTCAGACTATAAGCGCCAGGTTCAAAAATTTACTTCCCATGCTCTAAAAACTCAGAATGAGGGCTCATTAATAAGATGGGACAACCACTGTCTCCCTGGGGCCTCTCAAAAAAAAAAAAATCACTAAAAGGTAAGGTCAATTGCATTTATCTGGGTTATCATGAATACAGTGTCATCCTTCTTATTCTAGAACATTTGTTGTCTTCTCATTTCTTTTTTTAAAAAAAATATTTATTTGAGAGAGAGGGAGATAGTGAGAGAGAGCATGAGCTGGTGGGGGGGTTTGGGGGGAGAGAGAAGCAGACTCCCTGCTGAGCACGGGGCTTGATCTGATGACCCTGAGATCATGACCTGAGCTGAAGGCAGACGCTTAACCGACTGAGCCACCCAGGTGCCCCTAGGACATTGTTTTCTAATTTACTTTGAATTGATTTGCTTACTTGTCTTCCCAGAAAGTAAGAATTTCCTCTCTTTTCCAAACACCAAGTTTATGGAAATTACAAAATTGGCCAGGATAAAAGAATTTGAGGATTTACGTAGAAAGAGAAATTAAATTAAGTCCATGATGTAAATATCATAAACTCTCATAGAGATGATGTACCAAATATTAGCATCTTTAAACATGGAGACATTTATAGGTCTTGGGTACATAAAATTAGAAAGAGTTTTTATCATTCTGCTTGGTAGAGTTTGAGTTTTTTCCACCTACTCAGCCACCTGTGTATGGATCTAAGATATCCTTTAAAGAGAAAGATGGGGAGGGAATGTGCTCATATTCTTCAGTTTTCATTACCTAGTAGGTAGGGACGGCCAAAGCTCCTTAACACATGACAACTGGCCCTGTGGTGTCAAAAAATTTAAATTCACTCAGTGAGGGGGGAAAAAAAGTGTAATGTAGCAGAAAAATGACTATTCGATTAAATAATTTTGTAAAGGAGGAGTTAACAGGAGAGGTGAGAAAATTAGAAAGAATTAAATCAAGTCCTGACCGCAGGCACCTACCAAGAAAGGAAAATTCCAGATGTGAGCCAGAAGAGAAAGAGAATGCTTACTTGTCTGATTCTGGCAGTGAACAGGAGAGAAAGAAATGTCATCCAGAGCAACATATCCTCCTTTAGGACCATTGAAAGCAACTTCAAAAATAACCTGCAGGGAAAGATGACGGATTGTTACAGGTTTACATATTTTCTGTCAGGCTTCAGAGCTCTTAGCTATGATTTATGGATTTTTTAAAAGATTTATTTATTTGAGAGAGAGAGAGTGAATCCCAAGCACACTCCACGCTGAGCGTGTAGCCTGACATGGGGTTCGATCTCATGACCTGAGTTTAAACCAAGAGTTGGACCCTCAATGGACTGAGTCATCCAGGGGCCCCTCTTAATTATGATTTAAAATGATGTGGCCGGCAAGCCAGGTGATGGCAAATTGTAAGTGATTAGGAATCATGTTCCTAAATCTAGGGCAGCTCCCGACTTGATCTGTAGTTTCTTGAAGGGGGAGGGAATACTAAGCCCTAAGCTGTATTTTATTGGTGGGTTTTTCCCCTCACTTGAGTGTGTATCACTCTCTGACAGAACCACAGACTCGACAATTTGCATGATGACCTTCAATTGAAGAAACAATAGGCTCCCTGCTGAAAGCAGGCCAGGCTCTCCAACTGCCCTTCACAGAGAACTAAGACCCTGCAGGGTTCTTTCCCTTTTTCACACATGAAATTCTTTGAGGGGCGCCTGAGTGGCTCAGTTGTTAAACGTTTGCCTTCGGCTCAGGTCATGATCCCAGGGTCCTGGGATCGAGCCCCATGCCGGGCTCCCTGCTCAGCCAGGAGTCTGCTTCTCCCTCTCCCACTCCCCTGCTTGTGTTCCATCTCTTGCTGTCTCTTTCAGTCAAATAAATAAATAAAATCTTAAAAAAATAAAAAAGAAATTCTCTGTGAGGGTTCTGGACAAAGATGCAGAATCAAAGAGGATAACCTGTCTGCTAAGGCGAAATCAGGCACCAAATTCTAGGTATGGATGTCAGCATTTTAGCATGTCCACGTACATCCAAATGGTCAGAAAGAACATGAGGTTGTTGAGTTCAACCCTTTCGTGTTTCTCCCTGCTCTGCCACCGGCTTCCACCCTGACGGTCAATTGACTACCTTCTGCCTGTGCCCATGGGGATTGGGAGGGGTGCACACAGCTCTGCACACAGTGGGGAGCATGGTGGGAAAACGGCCCCAGTGTGCAGCCCACTCTAATGAATTAACACGAGAAGATGCAGTGTTGGCAGGTGTTGAAACTCAGGCCAGACAGAAGACATGAATGCATGACATGAGCTTGGTGTGATACAGCAGGACAGGGTGCAGACGGTCCTGAAGTGGGGAACCCAAGCCTGGTCTTAAGGGGAGCCTGCTACTCAGCTTCCTCAATTGCTGACACGCGGGAGTTCAGGCCTGATGTGTCTGGACCTACCAAATCATCAAGAGGACTGGATCTCTAGATTTTTATTGGAAATCTTTGGATTTTTCAGTGTTGGCGATTTATTCAAACACTAAAATGAACGCGGAAAAACAAGGGATACGCAACCCACCGCTCTAGCAGCCAGGCAAATCACTGTGGGCAAGATCTGACCCCTAGGCGTCTAGTTTTCAAACCTCTTCTAAAGACAAGGGTGTCTTGGAGGCAGACAGACTAGAGTTCAAATCCCATTTCTGTCACTAGCTAGGTGACCTTGAATACCTTGCTAACCCTCTTAAGGCTTTGCCTTTGTTATTTATAAAACAGGTATAATAACCCCTACCCTTGTAGGACTATTGAGGAGATTAAATGAGATGAGGTACATATATATAAAGCCCCTAGCATGGAGTCAGGTGCATCCTGAGCTCTGTACTAAATTCATGCGGATTTCTCCAGGTTGACCCCCTCTTCAACCCATATTCAGGTTTGAGCCTACTTAGCTGCTAATTAGCTCAAGCAGGTTCCTTCCCTCCTCCAGGTCTTAGTGTCTCCGGTTTTGAAAATAAGAGTGTGGATGAGATGGTCCAGTTCAGCTTAACAACAATGGTCCTATAGACACTTGGATTCTGCAAAATCTAAGAAGGGCCCCGGAGATTTGTTGCTGGCAAAGGTGAGCGGGGAGGCTGGGAACAAAGGGGACAGAAGCGGACAAGTGAGAAGGGGCAACGGAGTTCACAAACATAGCACAGGCCCACGGCGTTTCACTTTCAGGGTGCTCGCTGATCAAGTGAGTGACAGAGCTCGATCTTACTGAGTAGGTGGGGTGAGAATGCTTCTAATCAGAATTTGTAAATCACAGCCCATGTGCCAGCATGTTCCCTCTTGTTCGGAAAAGGGGGTCTTAGATGTTTGCTTTCCTTTTTAAAATTCATTTGAGAATATGGTGACATTAAATTCCCTGGGTTCCGCAGAGCATTTAGTTCCTTTGGCGGCAATTTCCAGTAGCGGCATCGTGAGTCAGATTGCTGGAGCAAAAGCACGCACAAGGGAACCAAAAGAATACATATTGAAGTGGGGTAGTGTCCAGAATTGCGACTTTTCAAGCACTGATATAAAAGAAAATTCAGCGAAGCCTCACTCATACAAATGCTGCCCAGGGAGTTTATGGTCGGATGGAAGGAGTTTGCAAAGAGACTGTCATCGCTGCGTGTGTGACTCATATGACTTTAATAGAAGGAAAAATTTCTGAAACAGTATGTGCATTTCTTTTCCTCCTTATAACCCAAACTCAGAAAATTTTCCACTGGGCTGCAAGAGCAAACCAAGCCTCGTCAGGCTTGGGGATAGGAAAGAGCGCACGGCCTGCAAAAGGCATGGTGCTGTCTCTGGAGCTGGGGAGGGGGGCAGGAGGGGATCTGAAGGGAGTATGGGGAGTGGCAGGCCTGTCTTCAGTAGACAGAACATGTCACCGACCAATCCAATGCAAACGCTCTCCCAAGCCCCACATCAGGTGAGCAGATGACACCACCCAGAAGCATGCAGAGAAGAATCCACCCCTTTTGCGCTCTAACGGGAACTACAGGAGCTATTACCAAAGGCACAAAGCACAAACTAGCGGATGTTAACAAACCTGTGGTAACTAAGACTCTATGTATGGCTCCAAATCTGCAACCACAATGTTGCACCACTGATTCTAGGGGTCCTCTGGGGTCCTCGAGCTGGGCCTCTGCCTTCAGCTCTAGGTCAGATTTGAGTCCTGGACTTTCCTAAGCGCCTGGCACTCACCAGCTGTATGACCGAGATAAAAAATAGCAAACTGCTTGGGCTCTCTTTTTCCTCCTTCCTTATCTGCAATGTGGGGATAATTTCATCTACTTTGGTTTGTTGTAAGTACTGGAATACACACATAAAAAGAGATATGTATTAATATACGTGCTTAGAAAATAGGCCCACAATGATGAACACCAAAATGTTAGTGTTCTCATCCTTGCAGGCTCAGCCTGGGTGGTTTGAGTTTGTTTTGCTTTCCTGGTTTTCTAATTCTTCTGCACTGGATATTTATCACTCATGTAACTACAAAAAGTTTTAAAACTAAAGCACCTAGCCTTGTTTCAAACTGGGGCCACAATGATAAATCTTTCTAATACTGAGGACATTATTTATACTGTAAAGGAGGAAAGAAGAAAACAAGTTGGCTTTTTTTCTTCTTCTTCTCTATCTCTAGAAAGTCTCTTCCTTCAGGTAAGAGAAAGGTTCATCCCTGCTCTCAGGAATGGAAGTTCAAGGGTGGGTTTCACCCTAGAGGGCGTTCCTCTCTTTTGAAGTCACGACCACAGTGTGGGTTGAGAGGGCACGTGCGCCCAAGAAAGGTCATTGGTGGACTGGATTTTCCCTATTTGTCCTTGGGGAAAACAGTCTTGGTAGAAAGCAGAAAGATTCAGGAATAAGAAAGGAAGAGGGAGAAGCAGAGGGGGCCCAGGGAAGGAAAGGGAAGATGAAGATGGACACACAACAGAGAAGAACAAAGCAGTGTGGCCTGGTGTCTCCCGACCTGCAGACGAGCCAGTCGGCAGCATCCCCGCACAATGCACAGTGGTGAGGCCAGGGCCCACCTGCCTCCATACCTACCTCCATGGGGTACGGCGCACTGAACTCCACCTCAGCCAGATTCCAGGCAGCATTCCCTGGCTGGTCCATTTTCCAGATTTCCTCATAAAGGCCGGCCCCATCCCGAGTATAGAGGGAGAAGCTATTGTCATTCCCCTGCTGGAGTTGGTAATAAAATGACAGGCAGCCGGACATGGGGGCCGTGGTCATCGGGGAGATGAGCTGCGCCACCTCCTGGAAGTGCTTGACGTACACTGAGTCCACGTACATGTAGTGGCCTGAAAATCACACGGACAGGACACGCATTTAAGACGGGCTGGGAGGGAGGTGGTGGCAGGTGATACAGTGCGATGCTGGGATGGACTTCAGCACAATCCAGGGGGAGGGGTGGCAAGGATGTGGAGGAGTTACGGCCACAAGACGTTCGGCCAGGGGTCCACGGGTACTGGGGCTAGAAGGGGACTGTGAGGAGTTCAAAGGTGCTCTGCTAAATCCAAGCCAAGAACCGTCCGTTCTCTTTGCCTCACTTGTGGTTAAAGTAAAATACACATATACGAAGTACTGGAATTTTCACAAGCTGAACGCAGCTGTGGAAAGAAACAGAACATGACCCCAGGAGGCCCCCCTTCTCCCAGGCCTTCTGTGAGTTACAGGATTTCCAAGAACATACCAAGGATACCATCTGTTCCTAAAGGGGCACAGAGGGACCTACCTTCCTGTACATCTTTACAATATACACAAAAAGTCAGCGAGTCTTCTTTGAGCAAAACTTAGATTTTTGACTTCAAACTGGATGACAAGTTTTGCCTCTTTAACAGAACATGTAGCCACGGTTGGGATTTGGGAGGTTGGACTTGGGACACCGCTCCTGGCGAGGCCTTGGTGGGCTCTGGGCCCGGAGGCTGACCTCTGTTAGAGGCATTTTGGTGAAAGAGAGGAACCAGGAGGCCAGAATGGGGGGAGCCTGGATTTGGCATTGTAGAGACCTGAGGTCAAGTCCTGCTGGGACCTCAAGCAAGTTACTGAATATCTCTGGGCTTCAGTGTCCTAATCCCTATAGGGAGAACCAAATACTTCCCTCCTGGGGCTAGGTCGAGCATTACATGAGATTATGCATGTGACATGCTTAGCGTGGGCTTGGCACATTGTAACTGCCTAACGCAATTACAATGAACTAAAGAAATGTCATTAATGATTCTGGTACCATGCCTTCCCCATTGTCTGTTTTGTGTAAAGGGTCGTTGTCATTATTGGCAATTAAAGCTGCAGTGATGGAGGATTGTATTGTAGCCTCGATAGAATGACCTTTCTATTTGTAAGTTCAGAACAATTACAGCTTAATATCTTTGTTTCATTGCACGGTGCCTGATTAGTAACAACTCCTTGTATCCTCAGCACACTAGCAGTAAGGGTATTAGGAAGACCATATACCTGCATAGACCGGACACTTGCTTTGCGTCTGGCACAGCACATGGTTATTTAAAGCACAGATAGTCTCAGAAAGGTCCTCACCTCAAATGGCAGAGGGGAGAGGTGGGTAAATCAAGGCTCGCTTTCTCCTGGCAGCAAAGTGTTCGACCCCCCTGAATCATCTCCCTTGTTTAACTATAATTTCTCTTACAGTTAGACAAGACATGCAACCGTGAATGAATAGAGATCACAAACTCAGATGACCAGAGGGGCCAACCTGATCAAGTATACCACTGAGGCGGAGTGGGTTCTGGGAGGAAATCGAGGGATGCATTCGTTGCCAACATCTGAAATCATATTTCATCAGCAACGAGAAACAGCAATCAAGCTTCTCTGGAAACATGGGAATATCGGGTTGTGTTGAGCCCACATTCCGAGCTGCCACCACCAGCGGGTGGCCCAGAGTGGCAGTCCCCACCCGTCATGGGCTGCGCTCTCTAGCTCAGGACTGAGTGTATCCATCCCACTGCTGGTGCCCTGACATCCAGCCCGGCGCCTCAGGCTTTTCCCACTGAAGCTCAAAATCTAAATTTTCATAGCCAACCTATCTATTTCAAAATGATACCCCCTATCTGAGTTTGCTAGGGTTGCTATAACGAAGTACCACAAACTAGGTGGCTTAAACAACTGAAATTGATTCTTTCTCCCCAGCTCAGGAGGCTAGAAGTCCCAGATCAAGGTGTCAGCGGGATTGGTTCCTTGTTCCAAGGACCGTGAAGGAGAATCTGTTCCAAGGCTCCCTCTTATCATCTGGTGGTTTGCTGGCAATTTTTGGCCTTCCTTGGCTAATAAAGCTCTTCCTTCATATTCACATGGTGTTCTCCCTTCGTATAGGTCTTTCTCTGTGTCTAAATCCGCCTCCCCCAACTTTTATAACGACACTAGTCATATTGGATTAGGGACCTACTTCGGTATGACCTCATCTTAACTAATCACATCTGCAACAACCCTACTGCCAAATAAGGTCACATTCTGAAGTACCGGGGCGAGGTGGGGGAGGTTAGGACTTCAACATATGGTTTGGAGGAAATACAGTTCAACCCTTAACACCCACCACCGCAATTTTTTAAACTCTGTCTCTGCCAAATAAGCATATCTGCAGGCTGGAAACAGCTGAGGGGCTCTCACTTTGCTGACTCTGGCAAGGGATTTTAAAAGACGAATCAGAATGTCAGACTGAACAGAATGAGAGAAACTCTGAACCGGAAGGAAGGCCATGCCTCCCCCCTGCCCCCCAAGCTCCAGTGCCCACAGGAGCACTGCAGGGGGAAGGGGGGCAGCCAGCCCCGCCAGAATACTTTACTAATAGAGAACACATGCGACCAGCCAGCCTCCGTAACACCCCTTTGGTCACCGAGACTTCTTGTGTCAGAGGCAGAGAGGGAGTGTTGAATGCTCTTTGTAACCTATCTTCTGATGAAACAGAATCCCTTTCCAAGATGTGTGTGGGGGGTGGGCCTGGGGAGAGGAGAGATCTAATATTTTGTTTCCTTGGTTCTTCATTGTGGGGGCCATGGAGGTGGCGTCTGACCCCCCTTCAGGTGAACTTGCTGCAGGGAGCATAGCTGGCTGACAGCTTCCAGCTGCCTCACCTCTGGACCCACATCGGTGCTTGTGCCAAGGCCAAGTACACTGGGCTGTTCTCAGCTGGTGACTAGGCAGAGCAGGATTAGCAGAGCGGGGCCCTTCCGCCTGACGGGGGCTCTTCAGCAACCTCCGCCAGCAGCCTGGCCTTTCCCTCCCAGGTGTCAGCCTTCTCTGCCGTGCTGGAGGCCCTCCCTAGCCAGTGCCACGTTACGACTTTTGTGGGCCCTAGGCCCTTTGTCCGCTGTGGGTCCATGCCTCCTTAAAAAATATTAAGCATTCTATTTTATGACTGTGTTGGTATAAAGATGAACATAATTTAGGCTGGACTGATTATTTTATTTGTTATTAGCACATTCATTTTTTTCTTTCGATTTTAGAATAAATAAGATGAAAACATTCTCATGGATCCCTAAAAATGTCACGGCCCCTAGGCACTGTGGCTACTATGCCTAACAGATACATTGACCTGGGCCCCAGTGACTCCAGCTCTCTCCTCCTTATCCTTCACGGCCGATAAATCTCTTTCTCACCCAGTCCAAGCTTAGGGTCTTCTTCCTGGAGGACCCAAACTGACGCAGCCACAAAGGGGGAACTCACTCCACCGAGGGTGAGGAGCACCTCCGAGACGTCTGGGAGATCCTCGGTGAATCCAGAAGACGTCACAATCCACTTGGAGGCATTCATAATACTTGCGGAGTGCGCGGCCACTGGACTTACAGAAATGTCTCACACCCCGTCCCATTAGGAACCCATCTTCCTCACCGTTGACAGATATCTGACAGTCTTCTTTCAAGGCCAGTTACTCACCCGCTGTGTGGATGCTATTTTAATCCCTGAATTTGCCAGTAAAGTGCTTCATTAACAGCTCACACACAAGGGAGCCAAAGTCACATTTCTGATGCCAAAACCATCCAGCAAACACAATGTGATGTGCCCACAGTGAGTCAGAGAGGCTGCTGGTGCTGAGACCAGGACTGCTGACACCAAGTCTCCTCTGGAGTCACTAGACTAGACCACATTCAGTTGCTTACCGCCGGCCCCCCCCCCCCATCATTCAGTTGTTGCCAAAGTCGGATACTATTTACGGACAATCTGAGTAAGACTGTTTCTCACTGGGAAACAAAAGGTAGCTGGCTCATCTCAGCTGAAGGGGTGGGGATGACTCAGAACAGGTGACTGCCCCAGGACGCCAGGCTGGAGGAACGACACCCAGCCCAGGCTCAGGATCATCGGGTATGACCGACGCTGAGGAAGAAGAGCAGATGTTTGGGTGAATGCAGTTACCGTTTTGTGCACCTTTCCAAGGGGAATGAAGAAGCGGGCCTGGAATTCTTGGGAAATTATGTCTCTCGTGCTTGGTATTATGAGAATGTTCCTGCCTCGTTCAATGAGGCCCAGGGTTCTAGGGCCTCCAGAATACCTGGGAGAGGCAATTTATCCGATCTTTTCAGTAGGACGAAACTAGGTGTTGGTGGACCCTAGATGTACCAATCCTATAATTAACCAAATCTTTGGGGGGATCCTGCAGGCCACAAGGATTTGTAAGTATTCAAACTTTAACTGTAAATGAAAGAGTCTATAAAGGGGCCATGAGTTCTCCATACAATTAAACATCGAGAAGTTCAGTACCAGTCCCTTAGTCATTGCTGCTTAGCCATACTCAGACTCGTGGAGCCAGTCTACCCTTCCCTAATTCTGGATTATACACGAAGAGGCTGCAGCTTCTAGGGGAAAAAACAAACAAACAATTTCCAATTCTGTCGAAAGATCGAAATCTCAGTGATGCCAGCCAAAGGCCCCATCTGGGATCATGCCGGCAGTGACGGCACATGATTACTTGCTTCCCTTTATGTAGCAGCCCACTGTAGGTTCGCTCAACGGTTCATGTGCAACCAGGGGTCCCTTTTAGGCAGCCATTTTCCCTTGAATTAGGAAAAAAAAAACTTTGAGGGCAGTTCCTGAACTTTTATTTTCAAACAGTCTGGCTTCCCCGCATTCCACAAAAATGGCCCTCGGCTTGGCTCTGATGCCAAGGCATCCTTTGACTCAGCTGGGACTCGGCCTTGTCCGCCGTGCTTGTGTTCTAGTTGTGACGTCTACATCTGTGTCATGTTGTCTCCTGGGTGAGGGGGGAAGTGCCGTCTGAAGAAATAGGCCAGCTGGAAAACCCCACTGGTCTGTTGCTGCCATGAGGAGACAGCACCCAAATCGGGAGGTCACC